CGGTTAGCCTGATATTGGTACCCAGTCTGACATGGATAAATTTATCGCGTATGAGATGGTCAAGCTCAGCATCAACCTTACGAAAGGTTATCATGGAAACTGTTCCTCCTGTTCTTGTGCCACCTGCGTAATGATGGTCGTGATTTCTACTACAACGTTTGGCGAAGTTGACCTTTGCGACTGCTGAAGGCTGCAGAGCACGTGTTTTGGAAAAATGAGCTTCTCGACGGGCCGTATCTTTGTGCGGTCTATAACCACTCGTTCGGTGATTACACGTTAGTACTCCGTGTTCATGAAGACTGCCGACTTCTTTACGACCGATATATAATCTTGTGTCCGTCGTCGGCTACACGGATTAATTTCATCGCTTTCGTTCGCTAATTCGTCACCTCCACGTAGAAGTTGATGACAAGAGTCGGTAGAGATTTCCGCAAGTCTTATTATGGATAATGAACTTTCTAACAAGTTATTGCCTTTGTGCATGGATATTGTATATTCGTATAGCTATTGCAATTTGGAACCTAGACCAGGGTAACCTCAGTGAGGAGATGATATTTGTTTGCGATAAAAAAATATATCTGCGGGAAAAATAAAAGCTCGCATTTAAGTTCGCACGGTGCATGCATTATTGAATACTTGTACCTCAAACAGAATGATCTTGTTTAGTCTTTTAGGAATTTTATCATAAGTTTGGTCCTTAGTTCTCTGAACTCATGCTTCTCAAGTGCCTTAGTAAATATTCCAGCCACCATTGCTTTGGTGTTGCAGCAGACAACAGTGAACTCGTGTCGCTATACTTTTCCTTCCAGAAAATAGAATTGGGTTTGTACATGTTAGGATCTCCCAAAGAGCTTGGGGTTATAGCAGATCTTATGCTGCTGTGATTACCCTCCTTAAATAGTGTTAGCTTGTGCTATGGAAAAGACTAGCCTTCGTGGGTAAACTAGGAGAATATAATTTTTCTTACATACAACGGTACAGGTCAATATATTCTGTCACTGTGGTATGGAAAATCACTGTGTGGTGCTTACGTGAAATCCGTTAGACTGGACTATTTGTCAGCATGGTAACATATCCACCGACGGAGCGTCTGGTGTTAGGACAGTTCGCATGCCTGACCAGCAAATTCCAGCGTGTTCGAGGAATGCGGAGCTTGCAGCTTTACAGTACGAGTACGGATCGGTGTATCTAGGGGTCCAAGTGAGGGCAAGCGAGCGCCATCCTTCGGTTCCCGCCCGCTCAAGACGCGAAATACCTGCTGATCCGCTTGTAGCCAAACGCATTGTTGACGCGATCGAGCCGCCATCCACCGCTCTCGATGATCCAGTTCTCAGCCACAGTCCCGTTGTTCGCATGCATTGCCCCACCGCAGCGAAAGAAGTGGTAGGTAAGTCCAGTGGTAAGCCGGATATTCTGCAATTTGGTATTATCTTTTACCCTTACTAACAACATGTTAACATATGTTTGTGCTCCAGGAAGAGACGGACTTACAGAGCTTGAAGCTTCTTGCAGGGAAGTGTGGTTGTTGTCGATCTCCAGTAGCTCGACGAAAGATCGTTCCTGAAGTCTTCTACGTTCACGGAGCTGCGCGATTTGTTTCAAACTGCGAAGCATCCGCTAGCGCGGCGTTGTCTGCATAATCAGGGCCACCACAAGGCATTGAAAAGACTTGTTAGAAAATAAATTGGTGTGGTGTTTAAACAAAGCCATGCCCTGAAGCAGTGCTGTTTTAACCCTCTTAAGTCGAATAAATTGAACGGTGTC